CTTGGCTTCATTTACCTCTACCTCGGTGGCGGTGGAAGATAGTATTGTTGAGTACATGCAATTCCAAATCCTTAATGAGGACTTCCAAATATAGGAGGATAGGCTTAGATCCATTTTTCAATGGCCGAAGTACATGGCCAATGTGGATAATTGTTTCTATAGTTATACTCCTACCGAAATGAAGAAGCAAGGGTATAGGGAAAAGAAATGGTGGAGGCACATCTCGGTTGAGGAGTCCATTGATTCAAAAACTTCAAAAGCTTCAAGCATTATGCATGCGGCGCTTCGCTATATGCATCGCATCCTCGCATATGCAATTAATTCAAGGGATTTAATGGGTTCTATAAGTGCTGAAGAGGTTAGTTGGCTTTGGATGGTCGACCAACCAAGGGGAGAGGTTGGTTTCATAGACTTCGCCAAGGTGCTCATTGAGAGATTCATGCAAACCCGAAATGGAAGGGTTAGGTCGGGCAAGATTCAATTAGGGGGTATGGTCACCATCATCGCTAAGGCTCTTGTGCCAAGGTTTGAAGAGAAGGTTGAGGAGCTAGAGTTGGATCTTATTCAAGATGCTAGGGAAGGGGATAAATCAATCTATTTGAACATCCCTTGCTTGATTAAGCAAAATTCTTTGGAGGCCACAACGGAAAAAAATCTTTATATTTGGAAAGTGGCCGCCGAAGATTGGTGCCTCCTTCCTAACCTCAATGCAATGAGGGTTGATCATAGTACCGAGTACAAATTGAGAGTGCCTCAAGTGGAAATACCTCTTTGGTACAAGAAAGGAGTCACTCTCCCGAACATTCCTCAACAAGAAGAAGAACAACAACAACAAGTCCAACAACAACAACAACAAGTCCAACAACAAGAAGAAGAAGAACAACAAGATTCAAGGCCCCATGTCCCTCGGAGGCGATTTCAAGTAGGAGAAGGTACATCTTCTAACCCTCCTCCCTCCTCCACTTTTGATTTCTATCGCATGCAATCACAAATAGATGCTATGTTTAATGCTCAAAATCATGAGATTGCTATGCGTGGTAGTCATGATTTGTTTTCTCAGCAACTCTACTCATACCATGTTGAGCGGGGGGACTTTGAGCCCTATGTTAACTACCCTTATCTCCCCGCTCAACAAGGCCCGGTCCCCTCTTGGGACCCTCCCACTCTTTGCTATCCTTATTGGGAGGGACCCAATGTTCCCCATAGTCAAATCATGGGAACATCTTCGGACTCTTATGTCTATCGTTGCCCGGGCGGGTGTGACTACACCTATGACCCGTGCCCTCTTCCCGATGTTCCCCCTAGCAAGTTTGGTGGCTATGGGGCATTGAAAATGCCTGAGCTCGCGGACTTTAGTCATTTGTGTTAGTTGAGACGAACACTACAAAAGGGGGGGGGGGTGAATTGTAGGTGAGTTCCTAGTGACTACTTTTTCAAATATAAAACACAATAAAATAGGAACTTGCAATGCACACAGGATTTTACGAGGAAACCTTCTAGTGCCCAACTAGAAGTAAAACCTCGACCCTACCTTAGGGATTTCGAACACAAACAATTTCACTATAATAGGGCAAACACCAAGTTACAACCTATTATAATAAAACCTTTACTCACAAGTTCCTGAACGAACCTGCTACAGAATAGGATTCTATTCTACCCAGTCTAAGTCCCACACTTAGACTCTCTCTCGTACTCCCTAAGCACAGATCTTCTCAACTTCTCAACAGAAGCTCTCTCTGTATGCAATGATAACAAAAACACTCTCACCCAAATAACCCGAACCAATTACAAGTAAAGACACCTAGTATATGATCGCAAGCTATGCATGAAACCCGAAACTAATATGACAAGATGATAAGCTTGGCAAACTTAAACAATTAAAGCTCTGTAAATTCTTCACGCATAAACTCACACAAAAAACCTGAACTCCTTTTTTTTCTCTACTATTTATTCAAGTATTACTTGTATAGCAAGTAGGTTTTCTTAAAGATAAATAAGTTAAACTTAACTTATCTTTATACACGGTTTTTATGTAAATCATTTTGAAGAAAATCTTTTCCGAAAAATAAGATAGAATGATTTAGTTAAAAAGCATAATATCTTTTTAACAAACTGATTTTAAGAAATAAACATTTAAAGAAAATCTTTTTCGAATTCTATCTTTTATCTTTTCCGATTTTAATTTATTTTCCAAGCTAACTTGCCACGCTTCTAATAGACTTCATGCATATCCTACTTAACATATTTAACAATGAATCTAGAAGATAAAATCTTAAATAAATCATTGCTGCGCCGCACTCATGTACTGGTAGGTTTACTTGGGCTCCACGCTTACTAAGTTCCTCCAAAGATCTTAGCCAGCCATCTTCAAGTTCCTGTAAAGGAACGTTCCTGTTAGAGAACTCAGTTCCTGTGAGGGAACAATTCTTCTGTTTCGAATAACCTTCTTGAATAAAGAACTTCTTCAAGTCTTCTTAGTTTCAGTTACTTTTTTCATCTCCACGATCAATTTCACCTAAACTAAATAAACACTTGAAAAACCTTTATTAAATGAGTTTGTTGTAGTTTAAGTTCCTCATCATCAAAACCTTTAAACATCAACAATTTCCCCCTTTTTGATGATGACAAACTTAAGCAAACTCTAGAGAAAGTTAAAACAAAATAGAAGGACGTATTTTTGTATTTTTGATTTATAAACAAAAAGTAAACACACAACTGAATTAAAAAATAGAAACTAAAAGCAAAAATAGACAAAAATAACTAAGACAAAAAGTAAACTAATCTATCAACATCATATCAAAAGAAAGTTCTGATACTTTATCAACTGGAACCCAGAACAACTTCAGCCTCCATGTTTGCTTCTTCTTTTCCCCCTTTTGGCATTATCAAAAAGTCCTGCTTTTTCAAGTGTATTAAGCATCTCCCACAGCCCCACAAGCAATTCATCGAGTGTGGGAAACTAAAGGCAGCGCTGCTAAACAACCACAAGTAAGTTCTAACCTTCAGCATAAGTGTTCAAAATACACATAAACACACAAGTATAAGCAGAGTTCCAACATTTCATTAAAGACCAAAAAGATTTTTCATCCAGTTGAACAATTTAGAGAATTTACAAACAAAATTAATTGTTCAAATACTAAAAACAGAAATTAAAATTGTTCATGACTGAAACAGAGAAAATAGGCTAGGCTGAATATGACATAGGGCAGGCTAGGTTTCAAGGAACTCCATAATTTTCTTGTAGTCCTCCTTTGTTTGTTGTCCAAAGGCCTCCAATTTTTCTTCAAGACACTTAAGTTTCACCAGGAACTCCTCCTTCTATTCCTGTAGAGCCTTGTTCAGTGCTTGCTCTTGAAACTCCTTTTGCTCTTGAAGTTCCTTGTTATGTTTTAGCACCAGCTTCTTGAGTTCCTTTAACTCCTTCCCCTGCTCCTGTACTAACTTTTCCAGAGTCATCACCTGAAGCTTTCCAGCAGAGTCCTTCATTTGACTTTCAACCCTTTCCATTCTGTCAACCAGTTCAGCAACTTGCCCATTGAGGATATTTTCCTCAACATCCAACTCCAGTGGTTGTTCCATACTGGTTTGAGGAACAACACTGGCAGAAATCCTCCTGCTCTTTCTCACAGGCTGCTCAGATACAACCTTTTCGTTCCTCTTCCCTGTAACTTTCTCTTTCTTTTTCTCTCCCTTTTCTATTTTCTGGACTTTTCCCTGCACAACTTCTAGACTTAACCCAGCTAGGGTTTCCTCATTGATCACATTTTCTGGCTTTTCATCCAAAGCCCCATATTTCCCCTTCAGAACTACTCCAGCATTTTCAAAGACAGTGGACAGAATGGCTCCACACCCCACTTTTGTCCTACTGGGAACACAGTGTGCTAAGTGCTGGTACATTAAAGAGGGAAATTTGACCTTAATCTTCTTTGAAATACAGAAGATTACTGCCATATCCATCAAGCATGCTTCCCCCTTTATAGCAATCCTAGGCAGAATAGTCTTCTTTACCAAATTAAACAACAGCTTGTTTAAGGGACTAAGATCATTATGACTCATGACCTTCTTCCCTCTCTGACCACCTAATGCCTCAACTATATCACCAGCCAAAAAATTACCTACATTGATACTACCCTTTCCCTTTAAGTAAGTATCATACCCCTCAGCAGGTGTTTTCAGAGTTTTACCTAGGGTTTCAATGTTCAATTCGATTTTTACTCCATTAACAGCACTTGAAATAATCCCTAACTTTGCTTGAAAGTTTTGGCAAAATTCTGTCATAGCTACAGGGTACATATAGTTTGCTGAAACTCTTGACAACAGAAATTCCCAACCTTGAAATTTAATTAAATCAAGAAATTCTAAAAATCTTGCTTTCCTTACACCAAACAACATCAATGCGATGTCCAACTACATACCTTCCAGCCTGTGACTCAAGTTCCACTTGATCAGTCACTTCCTCTTCTTCATCTTCCTTTTCAGAGTTATTCTCCTCCTCTTTATCTTCTTCTTCTTCCTCACTCATCTCTTCTTCTTCTTTGTTCTCCTCTTTTGTCTCTTCTGAGTTTATTCCTTGAGCAAACTCATCTACTTCTTCAATTTGCTCTTCGAGAGACTTTTCACTTTGTTTCTTCTCTTTCCATTCTTTTAATCGTTGGAGAATGCTTGAAACAGAGGAATCCCCTTGATCGCTTTCAACTTCTTTTGGTTTCGGAGGAGATTTTCTAGGGTTTTCGGGAGATTTGTTTGAGGTAGAAGATGATTTGTAGTTTACCATGGCTAAGGGAGAAGTTTCTTCTTGAATTGTGTTCTCAGAGTGTTGTGATTCTTCTGAGGAAACAAATTCAGCAATGATCACCATTGATGCTTTAGGAAAGGTTTTTTTTTAAAGGTTGAAAGAGTTTTTATTGGGAGGGTTTAATTTGATTTGACAGTGAGGTGAAAGAGGTGGGTGAAATCAGCTTTTATAATAAATGAAGCGGTGTGAGGGAATTTAGGAAGTTTCACTGTTCAGTCATTAATTGAACAAATTCAATTGATTTTTCAAATTTTAAATTACTGGATGAGTCTTTCAAAAACTGAACTTTCCAAATGCAATTAATCTTAAAAGAAGTTTCTACAAAACACAATTGGAACACGCTTTTTACATATGTGTAATGTACATATTTAATAACTTATACAATTGAGCAATTTAATGAACTTACCTTTGGTAGTTAACAACGGTGACACTTTAGCTATGTTTATCACACCAAGGTTGTGGCAGAAGCTCTTTTCGCTTTATTTACATTATTTTTGACTTTGCCATATCTTGGAACTTCAGAGGCTAGTACTTCAGCTTGATCATCCCAAGTTCTAGTCTCAATTTCTCAAATCTTTCTCTGTTCAAGGGCTTGGTTAGAATATCTGCAATTTGACTTTCAGTTTGACAAAATTCTAACTTTATATTCCCTTGCTCCACATTATCTTTTAGAAAGTGATGCCTAATGTGGATGTGTTTTACCTTTGAGTGTTGAACTGGATCCTTAGAAATACATATAGCACTAGTATTATCACAGTAAATAGGTACACATTCAAAAATAATACCAAAATCTCTGACCTGTTGTTTTATCCATAGAACTTGTGAACAACATGCTGCCGCTGCCACATATTCAGCTTCTGCTGTAGATAAAGAAACTGTGTTTTGCTTCTTGGAACCCCAAAAAACTAAACAGGGACCTAAAAATTGTACCATACCTGAAGTGCTTTTTCTATTAACCAGATCACCTGCATAGTCAGCATCAGTAAAACTATTCAAATCAAAAGAATCACTTCTGGGATAGAAGAGACTCAAATCATCAGTTCCTTTCAAGTATCTTAGAATTCTTTTTACTGCTGTCAGGTGAGACTCCTTTGGATTTGCTTGGAACCTGGCACACAAACCTACACTAAAAGATATGTCAGGTCTACTAGCTGTTAAGTAGAGTAGTGAGCCTATTATACCTCGATACATAGATTGATCTATGCAAGTTCCAGATGGATCTTCATCTAATCTAGTAGCAATTCCCATAGGAGTATTATTAGTTTTGGCATTTCCAACTTGTATTTCTTGATTAGTTCCTTAATGTATTTTTGCTGATGAATCATAATTCCCTCTTCAGTTTGCTTGATTTGCAAACCAAGGAAGAAATTTAATTCTCCAGTCATGCTCATTTCAAATTATCCACTCATAAGGTCAGCAAAATACTTGCATAGAAATTCGTTAGTTGCACCAAATAAAATATCATCAACATAAATTTGTACAACTAAGATATCAGTTCCATTTGAGTTCAAAAACAATGTTTTATCAATTTTACCACGTTTAAAACCATTAGCCAAAAGGAACTTAGATAATCTTTCATACCATGCTCTAGGAGCTTGCTTTAACCCATAAAGAGCTTTGTCAAGCTTATAGACATGGTTTGGGAACTCAGGATTTTCAAATCCAGGAGGCTGTTCCACATAGACTTCCTCATTTAAATATCCATTTAAGAAAGCACATTTGACATCCATCTGGTACAGCCTAAATCCCATATAAGCAGCAAAAGCAATAAGTAAACGAATAGCCTCTAACCTGGCTACTGGAGCAAATGTCTCTTCATAGTCTATTCCTTCCTGCTGGTTGAAACCTTGTACAACTAGTCTTGCTTTGTTCCTTACAATAATACCATGTTCATCTAGTTTGTTTCTGAAAACCCATTTCAGTCCAATGGACTTCTTATCTTTTGTTCTAGGTTCCAAATGCCAAACTTTATTTCTTTCAAATTCATTTAATTCAGCTTGCATAGCATTAATCCAGTCATCGTCAGTTAAAGCTTCAACATAATTCTTAGGTTCCATGGAGGAAAGGAATGCATTGTATGCACAGAAGTTCCTAAGCTGAGATCTGGTTTGAGTTCCTTTTGTGATATCACTCATGGTTACATCAACTGGATGTGATTTCTGATATTTCCAGGGCCTTGGAGTGAAGTCCTTGGTTGGATACAATTTTTCTTCATTATTGTTGACTGGTTCTTCTATAGGAACTTGTTCATGGAACTCAGTTTAAACTTCTTCAGGTGTATCCACATTCTGGTCTTCATTATGGACATCAGTCTGTTCTTGAAGTGGAGTTCCTGGTGCATTCTCCATCTCAGGTTCAGCGTTTGCTTCAGGATTCGTTACTTCAGCAATTTCAACTTGCTGCTTCTGCTGTGATGCTGGTTCCTCATCTGGATTCTTCTTACGCACAAGTCCAATTTCAAAATCATCATCACAATCCTGTACATCAACCAAATGTTCAGTTTCATCAAATATAATATGTACAGACACCTCAACACACATAGTTCTTTTATTATAGACTCTGTAAGCTTTACTATTCGAGGCATATCCTAGGAATACTGCCTCATCACTACGTTCATCAAATTTACCCAAGTTCCTTTTACCATTATTGTGAACAAAGAATTTGCAGCCAAAAGATCTAAAGTAGGAAATATTAGGTTTTCTCCCTTTCATAAGTTCATAGGGAGTTTTATTGGTGATGGCCCTAACAGATACTCTATTAAGTATATAACATGATGTGTTTACTGCTTCAGCCCAGAAGTTCCTAGGCAGCCTGCTTGATATCAGCATTGTCCTTGCCATGTCTTCAAGGCTCCTATTCTTGCGTTCCACCACTCCATTTTGATGTGGAGTTTTTGGGGCAGAGAAGTTGTGATCCATACCATACTCAGTACAGAATTCATCAAATTTTGAATTCTCAAATTCTGTTCCATGATCTGATCTAAGATGTATCAATTGATTGCCTGTTCTTCTCTGTTCTTTCTTTACAAAAGCAAAAAACTCATCAAACGTTTCATCCTTACTTACAAGAAAGAAAACCCAAGTGAACCTTGAAAAGTCATCAACAATAACCATTACATATTTCTTACCACTTCTACTTTGAATTCTCATTGGACCATAGAGATCCATATGAATGAGTTTCAAAGGCCTTTTGGTACTTACCATCTTTTTGGACTTGAAGGAAGTTCGGGTCTGTTTTCCTCTAGCACAAGCTTCACACACTTTGTCATACAGGAACTTAATGCAAGGAAGTCCTTCCACTAAGTTCTTAGATTTTATTTTATCAAGTAAAGAAAAGCTTGCATGGCTAAATCTTTTATGCCATAAAAGAGGATCATCCTCAATAACACTAAGACATGTTAAACTGCTGTTAGGAACCTCATTAAGATCCACAACATATGTGTTCCCTTTACGAGTTCCTTCTAAAATAATGTTACCAGTGTCATTGTGGATGATTCTACACTTATTAGAAGTAAAGCTAACAGAATTACCTTTGTCACAAAACTGTGAAATACTTAACAAATTGTGTTTGAGTCCCTCGACTAAAAATACATTATCAATGGCATGGGAACGTGACCTTCCTATCTTTCTAATAGCAATTATATCACCTTTCATATTATCACCAAAGGTCACTGTTCCACCGTAGTAGGCATCCAGTGAGAGAAATTTAGATTTATCTCCAGTCATGTGCTTAGAAAAACCACTGTCGAGGTACCAAGTGTTGTTCCCCCTCACTGGAACCTGCAAGAAGAATTAAACGTTAGAGTCAGGAACTCAGGTTTCCTTGGGTTCCTGTGTAACAAGAGTTGATTCATTTTTCTTGACCCAGATTTGTTCTACATGTTTGACATTCTTCTGAGTGCTTTGTTCTTTCTAAGGACACTTAACCTACTTATGTCCTGTATTGCCACAAAAATAACAAACAATGCTACTAGTCAAGTTGACTACTTCTTTTCTTTCTAGAACTTCTTTTAAAACCTAAACCCTCAGTTTTCTTGGTTTGAGCCCTAGTAATCCAATCAGGAACTCTATACTCTATTGGTTGCTTACCTTTCCTAGCTCTCTCAAGTTCCCCCTCAAGACGTGCCTTATCCGTTTTTAAATCTTCCAAATCATATTTTAATTTTTCAAAATTCGGATAATCAGTAGGTGGAGGAACTTCAGAGTTAGGAGTATCAACACTAAGTTTTAACAAAGACAATTCCACATTCAAGAGTATGTTATCTTGTTTCAGGTTCTCAATAGTCTCTTTTAAATTTTTATTATCATCAAACAGACTAAAGAACCTGTATTGAATGTCAAACTTCATGTTGCCAACCCATTCACTATTCTCTTTGTAAGTTACTAAAGCTTTATCACTTTGCTGCTTGGATCTATGTAATTCCTTTAAATCTTCTTGAATTTCCAAAACAGTATTTATTAGATTCTCTTTAGACAGATGTTTTAATTGATTGTAAGAGAACCATACCTTATACTCAAGCTCCTTTAGTTTGGCAGCTTCATCAGTTTTTGCCATTAAACATAAATGAGCAGTTTCTTCTAATGGTTGGTCCTCCTCTTCTTCTGAATCTGTATCTCCCCAAGCAGCTAGCATGGCTTTCTCCAAATTGTCCTAGGTGAAGTAAGGCTTATAGAGTTTTGACTCTTTGGATTGTTCTTTGCCTTTTGTCTTTCCTTTCTCTCCATCCTGTACAGGGCAATCCTTAATGAAGTGATCTTTTGACCCACACCTGAAGCATGTTGTGTTTCTGGAACTTGTGAACTTCTTGTTCCTGTCGAACTTCTTTACTCATCATCTTTTTAAATTTCCTCACTAGCATAGCCATCTCTTCCTCATCCACTTCCGATTCTTTTGAATCTTGAGCCTTAAGTGCAAGGCTTTTACTTCTGGAACTTTCAGTATTGGAACTCAGATAAAGTTCATGTGTCATCAATGATCCAGCTAGTTGTTCCATATTAAACTTGGTGAAATCCTTAGCTTCCTGCATAGCACTAACCTTGGATCTCCAGCGTTCATCTTGTGGTAGACTTCTTAGGATCTTCCTTGTCTGTTCATCAATAGGAATATGCCTGCCAAGGGAGTTCAGTTCATTAATAATATGATTGAATATGGCAAACATCTCTTCTATGGTTTCTTTAGATTGCATTTCAAACCTTTCATACCTAGACATCAATAAATCTATTTTAGAACGTTTTACCTCGTTAGTACCTTCATGATTTACCTGTAGCAAATCCCAAATCTGTTTGGCAAACTTGCATCCCATGATACGGTTATGTTCATGGGGTCCAAGTCCACAGTGCAAATACTTTATTGCTAAAGCATTCAGTTCAAGTTTCTGATAATCTTCTTTGTCATAAACAGAAATAGATTTAGAAACTACTCATGTTTGTCATTGGTTGCAGTTATTTCAAAATCACCAGTTTTAATAACACGCCAAACCTGGTAATTTTCAGCCTTGATGAAGATCTCCATCCTGTTCTTCCAGTAGGCATAGAACTTACCATTGAACATAGGTGGACGTTGGGTTGAGTACCCTTCTTCAAGTTTCTCCATGTAATTCATATCTCCAGGAACTTACTCAGCAAAGTTATTTGCTTGCAAGTGAGAACCTTGCTCTGATACCAATTGTTAGTTGAGACGAACACTACAAGAGGGGGGGGGGTGAATTGTAGGTGAGTTCCTAGTGACTACTTTTTCAAATATAAAACACAATAAAATAGGAACTTGCAATGCACACAGGATTTTACGAGGAAACCTTCTAGTGCCCAACTAGAAGTAAAACCTCGACCCTACCTTAGGGATTTCGAACACAAACAATTTCACTATAATAGGGAAAACACCAGGTTACAACCTATTATAATCAAACCTCTACTCACAAGTTCCTGAACGAACCTGCTATAGAATAGGATTCTATTCTACCCAGTCTAAGTCCCACACTTAGACTCTCTCTCGTACTCCCTAAGCACAGATCTTCTCAACTTCTCAACAGAAGCTCTCTCTGTATGCAATGATAACAAAAACACTCTCACCCAAATAATCCAAACCAATTACAAGTAAAGACACCTAGTATATGATCGGCAAGCTATGCATGAAACCCGAAACTAATATGACAAGATGATAAGCTTGGCAAACTTACACAATTAAAGCTCTGTAAATTCTTCACGCATAAACTCACACAAAAAACCTGAACTCCTTTTTTTTCTCTACTA